TCTTCGCCCGACGGTCCCCAGCAGACCACAGACACCGGCACCCAAGTGGCAGCAGCAGCGGTTCCCGCGCTTCCGAGGCTTTGCTCTGGCAAAGCCTCAGAAGCGCGGGAACCCGCCCGGTGCCCCTGGTCTGCTGGAGACGGTCTCCAGCAGACCAGGGGCACCGGAGCAGCTTACGAACGGGGCTTTCTCGCCCCGACTTCCGGGGCAAGAAAGCTCCGTTCGTAAGTGCGGATCCGATGTAAGTCGGATCCGTGTAAGTCGGGGACTGCCTGTACTACAACAACAAAGGTGAAAATCTGTGGAAAAAAACTAATACTTTTTCTAAGATAATATTGGGGCTAATTTTGGTGGATGGAAAGACGGGGAAAGAAGCTTTGATGAATGGAATTCAGTGTGGTTTGCTTCAGAAGTAAAACAGAATTTAAAATACAGTGCCACCAATGAGTTTAAGAAAACAGTATATCTCAGATCCCCAAATAAATATTTTCATTTAATAAACAATTTTCTGTTGTAGACGTAAACCTGTTATCCTATAAATATTTATATTTAATAATTATACCTCACCATTTGCAACACATACACTCAACTTCATTTTTTTCTGTTTTTTTAAAACTTTCAAATACTTCCTTGAGTTCTGAAACATATTTTGATACAGATCTTTGTTTTATTCCCATTTTAGTGTGCCAAAGATCTTTAAACTATTACCTGCTCAAAGCTTGAAATATGTATATGATGATGTCAGATTCATCAGTACATTCAGGTTCACACATACTTTAGACCAGGGGTTCCCAACCTGGGGTATGTGTACCCCCAGGGGGTACGAGAAGCTTGTCAAGGGGGGTACAGGGAATATTTGGTAAATAACTAGATTATCCTAATTGAAATATTCCAAAAGTTGTAGTGTTAGTGAAAAAAGTTGTGGATTCTAGAGTGTAGAATTTATTTCCTTTCATATTTAATAGGGGTATGGGAAGGTTTACTAAAAGCCAAAAGGGTATGGGGACCGAAAAAGGTTGGGAACCCCTGAGTTAGAGCTTTCATTGCTTTACAGTGAAAATAAAGGGGCTTAAATTAAGCCATGAACTCATAGAGCATTTCTTATACCTTTGGATAATCAAGGGAGCTGTCTTAGCAGAGTTTCCTGACCATCTGACTGATCTCACTGATTATACAGTAGAGGGGAATGCATTATGTCCACTTTTTATACAGTAAAAACAAGCAATGCTGTGGTACTTGAGAGACTAACAAATATATTCTATCATGAGCTTACGTGGGTAAAACCCCACTTCATCAGATGAGTTGGAGTAGAAATTACAGAAGCGAAAGTATATATAAGAACAACAAAAGAAGTTATTTGTCAAATGTAGGGCTGGTGTTAATGTGGCTAATCAAGACAAGGTGTATGTATCTTATTCTCAGCATTTGATGTGGAGATATGAATATCAAGAGAAGGGAAATTGCATTTGTAACGTGTTAGCCAGTTAAGATCTTTATTCAGTCCTAACTTGATTGTAGTGAATTTGCAGATGAACTTCAGTTCAGCTATCTCATTTTGTAATCAGGGTTTAAAGTTTGTTTGTTTGTTTGTAGAAGGATTGCTACTTTTAAATCCATTACTGAATGTCCAAAGAGGTTAAAGTGTTCCTCTACAGCAGGAGTGGGGAACCTTTTTTGGATCGGGGGTTACTGATCCACAGAAAAATCAGTCGGGGGCTGCACGGGAGTGAGAAGCAAGAAAAAAACCCCTCACTATGGCTGCCGACAGAGAGAGAAAGACACCACATTTGCCTCTCACACCAGGGCCTAGGGGGTCCCATCCTAGTAGATTTTGTGTGCTCCAGCTCCCAGGGGAGTAGCAAGGGAGCTGGAGCACCAACATGGACTCTCCAATGCTGGAGGGGCCATGAGTCTTGGGGTCCAGATCCAGGCACACCAAGGGCTGCATCTGACCCCTGGGCCTGAGGTTCCCCACTCCTGCTGTGCAAGTTTATGTGCACTACCATTCTTGATGTCTGATTTGTGTCCATTTATCCTTTGGTGCAGAGACTGTCCCATTTTGTCATTGTACATACCAATGTACATAGCAGTGCCCCTCTGCCATATATATTTTTGCTTTATGATGTTCTGTGCAGGTTCCAGGGTGGTCACGGGAGGTGGAATGTGCTACTTGGGTTCCTGTGTTCATTAGTCATCACCCTAGACTCCAGAGAAATTAGTGAGGAACCCAGGAAGCTGAGTAGCAAATATTGCCTCCTCAGCCACCCTGGAATCTGCATGGAGCACATCAAAAGCCCCCTAGGGTGGCTTAGCTCTGGGAACGGGAGGCACACCTTTGGCTGGCCCAGAACGCCGCCAAGCAGATGGAGGAGCAGGCTTCCAGCCAGCCTGGGGCTCCTCCAGCTGGGAGGGGGCACTTGGGGCTTCTCTGGGTGTGGGGGGGGTGTGGGTGGAAGGGGTGGAATTGGGGCTAAGCCACTGACCATGCAGTCCATGACTTTTAGTATCTAGCAAAGTTATGAGTTTAAATTTCTAGGCTAGCCCTTTGAAAGTGCAGTGCAGGAGTCTTTTGAGGATGAAGATTGATATGTCAAATATAGAGTGACATATTTACCCACAAGTGATGTGGTGTTTTTGTCTTTTATCATTTTCTTGAGAGAGTTCACTTGAGAGCTCAGTGATTGGTTTTACCTACATAGTTGCTATTGGGGCATTTTGTGCAGGGGGTGAGGTATGTCCCATGTTGCAGTAGAACTGAGGGATCTTAAAAGCTTAGAAGCTTGACTTTCTCACCAATAAAAATTGGTCCAGTAAAATATATTGCCTCACCCACCTTGTTTAGACAATATTAATTATCCATGTGCTGAATCTCTTCCAGAAATCTTTATTCTGGCAATTCTCCTCCCACTTACTTTCAGGGACTGAATAAGAACTACAGGATTTGGCTCTATGCTTTTAGATTTCTGTAACAACTTTTTTTCTATTTGTAGGGGTGTGTGAATATCTTGCTTTTGTCTTCTGTGAGGGAACTCCTGCGGTAAGTACTTTACATTTTAAATGTAATTTTAAAAACTGACAAATTCAGCTGCTTCGCCTTTTTAACTGAACAGTAAAAATTTTTGTTATCACTCAGGTAACTGTGCTCATTTTCTTCTGTTACATTGATCAGTACTTTTAACTGACATCCCCAGAGCATTTTGGCTCTTGTGTCTGCAGAGGTAACAAATTGGGATCCTTGGACGTGACACCAGTGCAGCAGGCTGCCAAGTGTTGTGAGGATATTAAATGGGGTTGCAGAGAAAATGAAGAGAAGTGCAGCAGATTCAAAACTATTTAAACACATGATTAAACCAATAGATAATACTTGTTTCTTTTTAATTGTTCCAAGAAATCCGCATTTCAATGTCTGTGAGCAAATTCTTTGCTCATCTCTTAGCAGAATCATTGAAATTATAGGCTAGAAGTAACTTCCACAGGTCATTTAGTCTTCTCTGCTGTGTTGAGGCAGGATGAAGTAAACCTAGACAATCTCTGATAGATGTTTGTCCAAACTGTTCTTAAAACACTAATGATGGGAATTCTATAATCTACACTGGAAACTTATTTCAGAGCTTAACTACCCTTAAAGTTATAACCAGTTTTCCTTAATATCCACCCTAAATCTCCCTTTCTGAAGATTAAGCCCACTACAACTTGCCCTTCCTGACACTGTTCATTTATTTATCAAGAGACACCTGTAAATGACCCTGATTACTAGTCATTTTTCAAAGGACTGGATTGTGAAACAACTTCCAACTCCACTCAGCTGGCATGAAATCCTAAGGCTTTGACATCAATGGTCAGAAATACAAACCTTGTATTTTGGGAGGTTTCTTGAATTATTTTCCCAGTGTTGCTCTTAGCAGCAATGACAAATGAAACACTTCTCAATAATTGTTGGCATTAAATACCAGTGTAGGGAGTTAGCAATTTAATTTCACTTGTAACTTGGTCAGCTGTTTCAATAAGCAAACCTGTTGGGCCAGCCAGTAAGGGACAGCTTGTGTTTGCTACAGTTGACATATGTAGACAAGTGTGATTCTAGGGAAACACTGAAGAATGAGGGAATGAGCTTGAGGCCAGGGGGAAAAGGGTGGAGGATACTACAGAAGACAGCATTCATGCTTTGCTCTCCCTGACAGAAAAGGAGCTGTATTCCCCAGTACAGGAGGGAAAGAAGAGAATTGCAGGCCACCAGCAGGGCTCCAGTTAAGATGAGAGGCAGTGGTGCAGTGTTCTGACCCCTTTCTTGCTATCTAGTACTCAAGAATCTCAGTTCTGTTTTTGTGTGTTGTTTTTAAATGTTTAGCTGTGATAGTTACAAAAAAACAACCTAAAAAAATGAACCAAGTGTAACTTCTGCGGAGAGTCTGAAATAGTAGCTCCCAGAGGTGTGACGTTCTTCATTCTCAGCATCAGGTTCAATAGCCTACGGTGATACTTCTAGGGAATCACCAGCTGCTTCCGGATCCTTCCTGGTTCATTCAACTCCTGAGGAGCATACTCCTGATACAGGAATCCCTGGTCCCACAGGAATTTTCTGCATTCTACAGTCACCTCTAAGGGTCTTGCCAGGGCTGCCCACTTCTTTATGGACAGATCCTTCTGCAGCTCCATCTGAAAATCAGCTTCTGGGTGGGGAGTAGAACCTGGTCTCTCTCGCTGACTGGGCTGGGGTGCTGCTCTCATTGGCTAGTCTCCACCTTATTAAGCCCCATCTCCAGTAGTTCACTCCCACCCCACCCGCCGTTGAGGTTTCCATGCCACCTGTCGGTTGTCCTTCCTTGGCTTTGGCCATAGGCATGGATCAGGGCACTTGGAGTGCTGCCCAACCAGTCTTCCGGAACATGCAGTGGTAACTATGTTGACATTTAACTCACGTGTACAGTGATGGTGATTAACTATTTAATTCCTCATGTAGAAGAGAGAGGGTAACAGACTGTGCAATTTACTGTGAGTGATGTCTCATTTTGCTGCCGTAAGTGAGGGGCATTTAGGAGATGCCACTAATTATTTTTTTCCCAGAGTCATAAAGGACTCAGGAGCCCAGTAAAGCTCATAGGCATATTCAAGGCATTCTGAATAGGAGCTCATAAAGTCACAAGATCTGTTCTAATTAGTGTCTCATTTTGGCACCTTGCATGGGCAGAGCTCCGTTTGCAAGCCTTTTTTCCTCCCCAAGTATGACTCGAGCTCAGTAGTGACTCCCAGCATGTGGTCTGCCCTCCCCATCCACCAGGCCTTCTCAGATCCTTGCTAATATAAACCTGAGAACTCCTTTGCTGGCTTCTCCAACAGCTACTCTTCTCTCCTCAGCAGGGTGTCTGCTGAAGCAGCCTCAAACCAGAACATTTCTGGGGCAACTGTCAGTATCCCAAAAGGCAAGATAAATAGCAGCAATCTTTTGAAATAAAAAACCTCATGTTGGGAATTTAATGCAAGAAATACTTCAGATTTTAGGAACAGTGCACAACCGAGGAGGAGATATATTTGCTTCTTAGCATTTAACAGTGATAGGTAGCCATTTCTCTTGTCGTCTTTGTACCTTGATTTTTTTCAGAATGTGGAAGAAACTGTCAAAAGTTGAAAACCTGCCTACTACTGGCATTGAGAATGCTATTCTTTCACCAAATGTGACTTACATTCGTTGGAAAGTGCATGGAGACTGGGTTACACAGGTAAAAGAACCAAAATCTTACCTGACTCCAAAAGAAATAGAAGTTTTCTACAAATGAAATCACCATGGCAATAGGTAAATAGGTTTCAGCCACAGCATCTAGTCAGCCTACAGGGGGGAAAAGAACCCCTCTTGTTTGTCATTTAGAATAACACTATCAGCGATGTGGGAGGGAAAAATGGAAAATGGCATCAACTGTCAAACTTGATGTGAAAAAGGAATGAGGGCTTGACAACAGAGAATGAAGCATGACATTCAGACTAAGTTGTGATGCCCATGTTCAACAACTGTTTAGCTTTCAGCTTGACTTCAATAACGCTAGCTTTCAAAGTTAGGAACATGCATTAGTTCCTTGCTGACAGGGGCCTGAATGAGGTGAGATGAGTATGAGATTACTGCAGTCCCAAAGTCATTAGCTAAAGGAGGCTGGGCATGGTACTAAAGAAATGCTCAATCTTTTATAGCCCTGACTACGTGTACAAACTTTAAATTTGTCTCTTCTCCCAGACTGAATGTTTCCCATCCTGGACCTTTCAACAATGTCATTTTTGGGGATAAGAAGGAAGTATTTTATAGCTCTTTGAAGCTATTATGAGTTTTGGAATGTTCAAGGTAGTCCCAGTGGAAATGGGCTAGTGGCATATTTATACATTCACTCACTAGCTGATCTGATGAGATGAATAGAGCCCTGGACATCTCTGGATATCTGCTTTTTATCCATAAACTATCTTTGTTGATTATGGCTTGAATGTG